CAACGTGATTCTGCAATCTGCATTTGGGGTAAAATTGGGAGTTCATAACCCACTTCAATCTAATGTATGAAATATGATATGTCAAGAGCTTTGTAATATTGTGAACAACCAATAAAAAAATTGTAAAAAAAAATAATAATTGAATGCCAGGAACAAATAGGATTTATTCTAAAAATGCAAAGCTGGTTCAATACTTCAAGATTGAACTAAATATTCTACCATATTAACAGACTAAAGAAACAAAATTTCACATCAATTAATGAAAAAAAAGGCATTTGACCAAATTTAACACACATTCATGTTAAAAGTTGTTAGAACCTTAGAATAAAAGAGAGTGTCTTCATCCTGATAAAGAACATCTAAAAACCAGAATGTTAGCTTTATATTTAAAAGGTTAAATTATTTTTTAAATTGAGGAGGAGGTAAATGTATTCTTTCTCACCAATCTTATTCAATATAGTGCTTGAAGTTCTGGTCAGTGCAATTGGGGAAGGAAAAACTAAGTAAATGAAAAACATACAGGTCAGATGAATGGAAAAAATAAAATTGCAAATGACATTATTTCTACATAGAAAATCTAACAAAATCTACAAAAAAGACTCTAAGAATCAACAGGTGAGCTTAACAAAGTCATAAGAATATAAGATAAACATACTCAAATCTACTGCATTTTGACTTATTATCAATGAACTTATGAATACCTGAATTAAAAATACAATGTTATTCACAATTACTCAAAAAACTATATACTTAGTTATAAATCTAATATGTTAGAGTCTTACATGATAAAAACTATAGACCATTGATGAAAGAAATCAAAGAAGATCTAAATAAATGGAAAGATTATTGTTCTTGAATTGGAGTACTCAATAAAATAAAGATGTCAACTTCTCCCAAAATTGATGTACAGGTTTATTTCTATTCCTTTAAAAAAATCCAGTGAAATATTTTTGCAAACATGCTGAGGGCCATTGCCAAGTAGGAATGACGCATCGAGATTTCCTTGCCAGCGTACCCCATCTTGCTTAGAGGACATTCAATGGGACATTGCATGTATGCTTTAGTAAGGTGACCTTGCTCAAAGACCAGGGCAAATCCGGGTTTAGAGCTGATCAGGTTT